TAATTCCCTGAGAGTTGATTGCTATCTGCAACAATAGTCACCACCCAGCAACTAACTAACTATGAAAATAGAGTAGCAGTTGACTACAACACAGTTCCTCCTTAAGTACCAATTGTTTTAGGAAATAAAGAAACAATATTAGTCCTACACAGTACTAATACATTAGTTATGTGGGTATGAAAACAGATAAGAAATAAATCTCACATAGGAAGTAGAGGAGGAGGGCATACATAGAAGGGGGAGTGGCTGAGCAGGGAGAAAGAATTTGGGAATGTGGGAATGGGGGAGTTTGGGTAAAGGTATACTGGAAAGAGGGGTAAAAATATAAACTCAGGTAACACAACAGTCTCAGCTCCTGGGAGACTGAGTCACAGAGATGTTGGTTAGCTTTAACTGGCAACTTGACCTAACCTAGAGTCACCTGGGATGAGAGCCTCAATTAAAGAATAATCTAGATAAGGTTAGCCCCTAGGCCCTCTGTAAGAATTTCCTTCTTTCCCAGAGTGTGGGTGTCTCCATGTCATGGGCTGACCCTGACCTGCACACTGGTGAAGAAGGTTAGCTGAAAGCAAGCATGGGTGTATTTGTTTCTCAGTGCTCTTGACTCTGGGTGGGATGTAACTAGCTTGAGTTTCTGTCTTGACTTCCCTGAAATTGAGGACCATAATCTAGAGCTAGAAGCTGACTAAACCCTCTCCTTCCCCATGTGGCAAGTTGACCCAGCAGCAAAGTGAAGCTAGAACATCCCACAAACCAGGGATTCCTGGGTTCTTTGAGAGATGGAGAGAAGGGGGGCTAAAGAAAAATGCAAGGAAAGGTGATGTGGGAGAGTCTTCTGTTTTGTGTTAATTTCATTGGTTAAATAAAGAGACTGCCTTGGCCCTTTAATAGGACAGAATATTAGGTAGGCGGAGTAGATTGAACAGAATTCTGGGAGAAAGAAAGCCGAGTCAGTCAGTAGCCATGATTCTACCACCCGACACAGACGCAGGTTAAGATCTTTCCTGTAAGCCACACCTCATGGTGCTACACAGATTATTAAAAATGGGTTAAAGCAAGATGTGAGAATTAGCCAATAAGAGGCTGGAACTAATGGGCCAGGCAGTGTTTAAAAGAATACAGTTTGTGTGTTGTTATTTCGGGTATAAAGCTAGCCGTGCAGGAGCCGGGGCCGCAGCCCACCACTCCCTCCTTCTACAGAAAGGTGTGAGCAGTGGACGACTGAGGAGACCTGCTATGGTGACCTTGGTTTGATATTAAACAGGAATAGTTCTAGAGGGAAATGAGAGCTGTGTGGAGACAGGCTGGTACCAGAGTCTCTGCTCACTCCCTGACCTCTGAGGGCAACCGTCAGTGTGAGGCTGAAATCTCACTGCACTCCCTGACCTCTGAGGATGCTCTGGCTGGGGGACCAAGTCTCCATGCATTCTTTAAACTCAGAGGGGGACCAGTGGAGGAATACAAAGTCACAGTGTGCTCCTTCACCTGAGAGGACAACCATGAGTGAAGACTGAAGCTTTGACACATTTCCCTGATCTTAGAGGTGACCATAGGTGGGGAGCTAAGACTTGGTTCACTCCCTAACCTCAAAGGATAAACTAAAAGATCTAAAGTCTTAAACACTTAAAAGTCTTAAAGTCTTCAATACAGGGACAACCTTTATTTTGAGTTTAATAGCTGCATTTTTCTTGAGTTGAGATATGGTTATGTTGCCTAGGCTATCCTGAACTCTTGGACTCAAGTTTTCCTTCTATTTGGGCCTTTCTAGTACCTGAGAATATAAGCTCACACCTCTGTGCCTGGTTTTGGATATAATTTTTAATTGCTCAAGTGTGTGTGTGTATGTGTGTTTGTCCCATATCTGAATGCTAGCCACAATTAAGTTCACTTTCACTTTTTACCTGAAATTTTTCAAAGTTGTTATAGACAGATGTTTCTGTCCTGCCTGGTCCTGCAGCCATTCAGACCCAAAGAAACACACAGAGGCCTACATTAATTATAAACTAGTTGGTCTATTAGCTCAAGCTTTCTCATTAGCTAATTCTTACATCTTACATTAACCCATAATTCTTGTCTGTATTAGCAATATGGCTTAGTACCTTTTATCAGCAAGGCATTCTCATCTTGATTTTTCTGCATCTGGGTGATGGCTACAGACTAAGCCTTTCCTCTTCCCAGAATTCTCCTTTTCTGGTCACTCTGCCTATACTTCCTGCCTGGCTCCTGGCCAATCACCATTTTATTAAATCTTGAAAGTGGCAAATCTTTACAGAATACAAGACTATTGTCCCACAGGACTCCCCCTGCCTTTTTAAATAAAAACTCCAAATCTAATCTCCTTTGTTTAGCTTTCTTCCTGACCATTATCTATAACAACTTGTAACCAACACTCTAAACAAAGAAAAACATCCATAATCCATTTTTTGGGAATGTGGGCACAGTTTTTCAGGCTACTTCATGATAATTTGGGGCACTGATAATCTTATGGGGACCTAAAGAAAATTTATGATTATGGTCAAGTCCTGACAAATATTCCATGAGGCTTGATCATCTCAGCCAGCAATCTTGAGGCTGTTCTAGATGTAGAACTCAGAGGAAACTACAACAGAGGTCCTCTGAAATATTGGATCATCTGGGCCATCAGCTCCTATCGGAGAATTTTTTCAGGAATTTTTTCAAGGAATTTTTTCCTTGATCAAACCTGATTTTTCTTAACCCAGAATGAATCCACCACCTCTCATTTCCTGTGGAAACAGAAGCAAAACCTCTTCTCCGAAGTAACATATCTTTTGACAAGTTTTGAAGTCAAGGTATTTTCAAAATATATATATTGGATTAATCCAGCAGCATTTATAATTAAATATCTTTTAGCAGCTGTTTCTCCTTCCTCAGCTGTCAAATGATTCAAAGACAATACAATTCTCTGTATTTATGTGGCTTTATTTTACTCTATTTTTTATTTTTAAATTTTTGAGACAGGGTTTCTCTGTGTATCTTTGACTGTCCTGGAACTCACTCTGTACACCAGGCTGTCCTTGAACTCAGAGAAATCCACCTGCCTCTGCCTCCCAAGTGCTTGGATTAAAGGTGTGTGCCACCACACCCAACTATTGTCTGTATTTTTTAAAGAACCTTATCCTTTTCCTTTTCTCTCTCAAGCCTATATATATTTTTAAACACACTGTAAACCATTTACAGGGTTGTTTTTTGTCTAAATCTATCCTTACTGTATATCTCTTTTTTTGACTACCTGAGTCTTTAATTTGCTAAGTGATTTGGCTAGGATTAAAGCTGTGGCTTTGACAGCTGGATCCACCCCATTTCTTAGCTTTTTGAGATTCTAGCTTCATGGTGGAGATACTGGCCAGAGTCAGGTTTATTGCCAAAACTCTGTGGAGTTTCAAGGTCCCTGCCACCACCAAGAAGCATGTTGTCAGCTATTCATAAACTCCATTTAAGAGCTTAGCGGCAGAGCCTCTTAAAAGAGCTGTGAGGTTTTTACAACTAAAACTGAGTCAGGAAGCCTCTTTTAAATGCTACAATCTTGCCTCTTGCAAATAGAGCCCACCAAAGAAAATGCTGCTATCAAGAAGCCATGCTTAGCTCTGTTCTTTTGTGTCTAGAATTACTTCCCAAGCTCTCTCAGTTTTATGTGGGTATAGTTGTGCATGTTGGTGATGCTGCTGCTCAGAAACTGAGACAATTAATTCAAAAAGCATTGCATGTAAACTCTCACCAATTACAAAAACCTTTTCTTGTCTTTTGCTTAGAATTGATTTAAGAGAATTGTAATTTGACAAATTGTGTGATAGTGTTGACCTGTTAATACTTTAGTTAAGATGTTAATGATTAGAAAATGATTAGAATTTGTGTAAGAAAAGTTTGACACTTTCACAGAGAAAAACACACATCTCAGACAAAATAATTTATTATAATATATACAGTTAATAATTGACAATGCCAAGAACTGAAACCAAAACCATCGAGAGTTCACATCGCCCTTTCCACCCACAAGCTTCAATCCTCCCCTTTCTCCTCTCAAGACCCACACCCTAGCGCCAAGCCCTCTGAGACAGCACTCTGCAGAAATCTGTGCTGTGCTGGCCCTGAGAAACTCCCCACTTTCCATCTCTCAGTCTAGGAAGGGGAAGGAGACAAGACCTCAAGCAAGTCTCTCCAGGTTTTCTTTCCTATACCACAAACCATCCATTGACCCTGGAGCCAGATCTAAGTCCAAGACTACTCAGCTCTTTTGTAGCTAGCTTAAAATCATTATACAAAAACATAGCTGCAATAGGATATTACAAAATAATTGAGATTTTTGCAAGGATGACTTTAATTCATTAATTTTAAGTTAAATGAAAGTTATTTTCCCATGGAAAACTAGCTCAACATCAACATTCTTCTTCCTGCTTAGCTCTAGGCAGCCAAGCAGTGCCACCTAGAGACAAGGGCATCAGCCTTAGTCTTGTCAGTGGGTGGTCACCAACCGGGACACCTTAAAAGGCAACCAGTGTGGGCATGGGAACACACGGGAAAGAGGACCTTGGGCTAATCAGGTCAATGGTTCCTGGGAAGGTGCACTGTGACTGGATGGCATATGTCCCTGCAGGAGCATTTGCTCTCTCCTGTCACACAGTGTCAACTTCTAAGAACATATTTCATGTCAACATCAGCACCATGAGGCAGGGGCCACAAGGAAATGCAATGTTCTCCATACTGGCCATCGGAGGTATACTTTGTGCAGCCACAAAAATAATAAAATTAAATACAAACTAAGCAAGGACCAAGCAGAATCCATCAAAAATGCCATAGAATTACTGAAGTCAATGTGCACTCCTGAGCAGCTAAGACACTTAGTGCACAGCAAACACTGAGATGAGTAACAAACACAGGAGACACGCATTGGGCATTTCCTAAAGGCCAGAAAATTCCTGCTGCTCATGATTGTCTGCACCCCCAACTGGTGTGAGCCCCCATACTGCAGGTAAATACTGTCCCCTTGAGACCACCATTTTAAGAAACAAATTCCTAGGATAGGGTCTCTATCCTTAGCTTCTGGGTATTCATCCAATTGTAAAAATGATTTTCTTTATATTAGAAAAAAACTAAGGTATGAGTAATTGGGAAAAAGATTTCTTAACAATGAAGGAAGAGGAAACAGGTAGGAAAATGGCAGAAACTAGACTACAACTTTTTAAAAAAAAATATTATTGAAGGATTTATAAACAGTAATTACAAGCTGGATGTACTGAGGCAGAGTAGCATGAGCCCACACAAGCTTCTGTGACTAAGTTGGACTTTTCCTAGACCTGAGTAAATTTCTCTTCTTAAACTCTAGGAGAGGCAGATATGTGTGCCACACTGGCTTCAAATGCAAAAGTTCACAGCAATGTAATTATTTCCTTCCAGCAACTCTAAAATCACTGATGTGGGAGTGATTTCTTATTAATAAAGAAACTGCCTAGACCCATTTGATAGGCCAACCCTTAGGTAGGCGGAGTAAACAGAACAGAATGCTGGGAGAAAGAAGCTGAGTCAGGGAGTCACCATGGTTCTCCCACTCCAGACAGACGCAGGTTAAGATCTTTCCTGGTAAGCCAGCTCATGGGCTACACAGATTAATAAAAATGGGTTAGATCAATATGTAAGAGCTAGCCAATAAGAAACTGAAACTAATGGGTCAGGCAGTGTTTAAAAGAATACAGTTTCTGTATAATTATTTCGGGTAAAGCTAGCCATGCGGGCGGCCGCGTGCCAGGGACGCAGCCCTGCCGCTCGTAACACAACAAATCACAATATACATATTTAATCCCAATGGGAAAAATTTACAATTTCCCCAAACAACCACAGAATGGTCTAAAGGGAAATACAAAGCCAGCCTTGCCAAGTCTACACCAGAAGGCAGGACTCAAGCAAAGTAGGCATGGCAAAAGACAGCCACAGCCAATAGGATGATGCCGTTGATGTTCACCACTGTCCTCCACAAAGGCTTCTCAGAAGTGTCTGTCATCTTCATCTTCAAGGCTTCCTCCTCTTCCTTAGTCAGCTTTGGTCCTTTCTCCTGGTCCAGCCCACAGAACAGATCATATGCCTTCCTGAAGCATCCTTTCTCCTTTTGGGAAACTTCTGTTTCTACAAAAAGACATCAAAAGATTATTGGATACAAAGTCTAAAGCAGTGGTTCTCAGCTTTCCTAATGATGTGACTCTTTAATATAGTTCCTCATGCTGTGTTGACCCCCGACAATACAACTGTTTTCATTGCTACTTCATAAATGTAATTTTGCTATGAAATATAATGCAAATATCTGATATGCAGATGGTCTTAGATGGCCCCTGTGAAAGGGTTATTTGACCCCCAAAGTGGTCAAGACCCAAAGCTTGAGAACCACTGAGCTAAAGGAACTAGAAAGTTTCCTGGGAAGATGGAATACCACAAAGCATTTACATTCTGTAGAATAATCCTTCTCTTGTTTTCTGGAATGGAAATTGAATACAATTATGAGACAGGGTTGACTTGGAATCTGGCTTCTCATGGTCAACTAATCTGAGGTTTATCTCTTCTAGGACCAATAAAAATGGGCTTTGATTTAGAATAGTCAGGTAAGATAATAGATTATGAGAGGGACGTGCTAACAACGAGATGGACAACTGACTTAGGGACAATACGGTAAACCCACCTCTGAAATCTAGGACCATATCCTTTTGCTATGCCACTGGAAGGCAGGGAAGCTGGCCTGACCCAGAGGAGAGCTGCCAGCACTTGCCTATACTAAGGTCTCACAACAGACCTAGCCTGAGGGAAGGGCCACTCTGACCAGGTCCTGATGCACGGTCACAGCAGTCATTACCCGCCTGGCTCACAGCACGCAGGTGCACGTTAGTACTGCTCAACCAAGCCATGCGGTGGTGCCAACACCCAAAGTGGATGCTGGCAAGGGAGCAGATTCCCAGCTCAGAGGTCAGTTATGGCGCTGGAGACAGACAGGCGTAGTTTCAGATGCCAGCTCTGCCAGTGATCAGCTATGACATCCACCCTACTCTCTCTCTTTTTTTTTATTGTGGTAGGGTAATTTGTTCTTTTTAAAAATTTTAGTCTGTGTGTTTCCATCATGTATTTTGATCCCATTCATTTCCCCATCCCTTTGCATCCACCCTTAACCCCTGCACAAAATTTAAGAGAAAAAGAAAAATAAATTAAATTTTAAAAGTGGGAAAAAATTAAAAAATCTCATCAAGGAAGCTGCTGTGTGACACCGTGAGTCATACCATGAACCCCTTTGTCCATATAGCTTTACGGGAAGTGTTCATTGCACAGAGTCATTGGTCTGGTTCGAGGCCTCTGGTTTCTACCTCCCGATCTAGGCTGAGCCTTGCTAGGGCTCCTCCTGGATATCCTGCTGTTGCCCTGTGTTGTGGAGATTCTGCGGCTTTGGGGTCTGCAGGTCAGGTCCCTTCCCCAGATCCCACTCTATGTGTTAGCACCGTGTTCAGAGACTACTGATCGGCACATCCTGCTTTTTATAAGCAGATTAATATGTTTTGCTTTTTTGGGGTGGGAAATGGAGGCTCAATACGTGGCCAGACTGGCCTCCCGACTCCTGGATTATGGGTATGTGCCACCATTCCTAGCTCACACACTTATTTTTGGAGCTTTAGTGGCCAAGTACATACGTGTCTCAGAACTCTGAAGTGAGGTGACGAGGCCACGTGGTCCCTGGGCTCACGGTGAGCTTGACATCTACTGGGTCTGCAGCTAGGAGTCTTTGTGTCTGATGCCAGACTCGTAACTTTCTCTGCTTCAGCTAGTGCTGTCTTCAGGACCAACCTTCCATTTCAGTACCAGATAAAGCACATGGACTTGCGTACTTAACCTTCCCATACTTCTGCATACCATACACACGCATACCCATGTGTGTTTCTCTTCCACATAGAAAAAGTTGCAACACAAAGTTGAAGACAGACTTAATTTAAAGACTAAGCCTGGGGCTAGAGTGGAGGAGCTCAGACATAGAGCACTCTCTTTGCAGCATGCTAAGTCTAAGTAAGGCTTGATCCCCAGAACTGAAAAAAAAAAAATCACAAAGCATAAGTCTATCGACACTAAGCATCATGTTAAGCATCCAAAGGGACTAGATTTTCTAACCTAGAGTGGAAAGACATAAGATGCCAAGAGCCTCTGGCCCATACTCTGGTGTCATCGGAAATGGACATAGCTCTGCGTACATCTCTGTCTCAGATCATAGGCTATACCAGTAAAGCCCTAATCCCCCCACTTGACTGTGCTCCACATCAAGAACAAATTATTCTTCATTCCCTGATTCACTGAGTTCTGCAAAATCTGAGGAGCAAGGCAGCTGAGAGGGTTTCCCAGTGTTGCCCATTTGGTGAGCTTCTTCAGTGCGTATCCGCACCTGTCTTCCACCATCCTTCCCTAGTCCCTGAGAAGAGATGTGAGCATTGACAAAGGCATTTGCTGAAGACTTCAACAAGTGGCTTAGGAACACACCTATTTCAATTGTATCCTTGGGGTCCTCCTGGAAGTCCTCATCTCCTGCATCCAGGTCAATTCGTTCTTCCTTGCTGTTGCGAAGACTCCAACACAGACGGTATAGCTGTGGAAAAAGCAGAACAGATTACCAGAAAGATCGAACAGTGCCTTGGGCCAAGAATTTGGGGAAACGAAGTGGTATAGGACAATTGTCTCTATTCTGTCAATTAAATTTAAATAAATGCTGATTGGCCAATAGCCTGGCAGGAAGTATAGGCAGGACAACCAGACATGAAGTAGAGGCATGTCAAGGAGAACAGGAAAATTCTGGGAAGAAGGAAGCCCATTTCTCTGCAGTCCTGGCCCAGCCACAGAAAAAGCAAGATGTGACTGCCTTACTGAAAAAGGTACTGAGCCATGTGGCTAACAGAGATAAGAACTATGGGCTATATAAGTTATAAAGTTAATAAGAAACCTGAGCTAATGGGCCAATCCGTTTATAACTAATGTAGACCTCTGTGTGATTTCTTTGGGACTTAACGACTTTGGAAACCAGGCAGGACAGAAACCTTGAACAACAGAAAAGTATGAATCAAAAAAGGAAATGAATATGGCCTTGCCATACCAAGAAATCATGGATCACTCTCCCACTGAAATCCCACATAATATATGCAGCATAATCTAGGGAGAGGCTAAGAGGCTGCTTCAACTCATCCCTAAAGGAGGCATCTGCATCACCTCCAAGGCTCAGGGAGAATCACAGGAGAGAAGGGAAAAAATGAAGGAGACCAGATGGGGAGGAGCGTGGGAGCAGCGACATTCAGGACCTCACTGTACCAGTGACCTGCACAAGATAGGGTTGTCACCATTTCCTCCTGCATGGCGAAGCCACTCAGGAGACCCCACCCCACACTGAGGGCCTGTGGACAATTAAAGACTGCTGAAGAGGAAGTGACATTTTCTCCAGTGGGGTAGCCAGTGACAAGCTCCCGGGTTCTGGAGGATTCCCTGCTCACTCTCATGCAAGCAGTCATAATTAAACTCTGAGCCAAAGTAAGAGGGGGCTTGTTGGAAAGGAAAGTTTCAGGAGAGACATGGGATGAGATGATAATGGACAGTGTAAATGACCAAATTCAGTATGTTCATATATGAAAGTATCAAAGAAGTACAATAATATTAGTAGTAAAAAAATTAAAAACAAAAATAAAGGGCAAAGTGAATTAAAAATACAATAAATTTAAACATGCTGGGCCAGTGAGACAGCTCCGTGAATAAAGGAGCATACTGTCAAACATGAAGCCTCGAGTTCAATCCTGAGGATCTGCTGAATAGAAGAGGACAAGCACCTCATGTGAGTTTTCCTCTGCCCTTCATGTGTGCACTGCAGCATGCAGGTGCCCACACATGCATGATCACACATGTACAAAATACATAGACACAATGGAGCTTTTATGTTTTTAAAATTAAAAATCTCATGAAAAGAGACTACCTGAAACATACATGTTTGATGTGTAAATGAATTCACTTTTCTCTGATAATTAAATTTGTTTCTTTCAGCACTGCTACTAAGAAAAAGGACTAGAAGTCATTTATGCAAACCAGCATTGTAATGTCTTATTATTGAATACTGTCACATTATGAAAATAAGACCTACAAACATGGGCCCTGTCAACACAGAGTAGAGCAGGGGCAGTTTCTACTGATACAATTTGGAATTTGAAGTAAGAATTTGTAAAATTCCGTGAGAACCAATGCCATACATCTATCCCAGTCATGCCTTTTGCGGAATGCCTTGATTTTTCTACTTCACAAGTGGTGTGGGAAGTTCATCTGTATATATGTTGCCCTTATTGGTTAGTGAATAAAGAAATCGCTTTAACCTGTGATAGAGCAGAATAGAACTAGACGGGAAAACTAAATTGAATGCTGGGAGAAAGTAGGCAGACTCAGGAGCAGCCATGTAGTCGCTGGAGGAGATGGACATACCCAGGAACCTTACCAGTAAACACCAAGCCTCATGATAAAATATAAAATAATAGAAATGGATTAATTTAAATATGTCTCCTTTAGAAAAAAGTCAAAAAGTAAGCTATAGTTTAAGTTTCCCTGAGTGGAAGATTTTTGTAATTAGGCATGTGTGTTTCAGGACTTCTGGACATTTGGCCATGGTATTTTCACATGAAATATACAACTTCTCATTTTGGACAAGGACTTCTGATCTAGAGTATTATGCTGCCTGTCAAGTGACCTCACTTCCCTTTGTAGGCATTACTCAGGAAGCTGAGTCTTCTGGAAAGCCCCAGACTGAAGTCTGGGCTGTAAGGGCTTGGACCAGACAGTGCTGAGACAGCAAGCATCCCATGTTTCCCATCCTGAATCCTTCTACATGAAAACATTGACCAGCTGGAGCTATCTCAGCCCTGTAAAGTGTGAGCTGCTCAGCGGGGTGCTGCAGCAAGGACTGTGGGACACAGGCAGGAAAGGTCTCGAATGGATGGATACTCACGTGCACATCTGGAATGGGCTTGGTGAGGAAGGAGATGGCCAAGACGACGATGAGAGTGATAGTAAAGAGGATGATGGCAAAGTATAGATAATGCACCCCACAAATGATGGTGGGACAGTTGCTAGGTTCCATGCAGCTCCCGGTTCCATAGGCAAACTCAGTAATCATGCGGGAGATTCCAATCAAGAAGCCTAGAATCAGTCCCCAGAAGGCTCCCTGCAAAAGAAAACTCTGGGTTAATTGTGTTGAAACAAGAAAGCAACTGGTGTTCTCAGAAGCCAGAGATGAAGAAACAGGAGAGAAGGCTCCTCCGAGCCATCTGCAGCCAGGACACTAAAATCAGATCTGGGCCAGAACTGTTAAGTAGCACTTTTCATAAGTCTGTCTTTTCTGTTTCAACAACATGATATCCTGTATCATAAAAAAAAATTCAAAATATAATGGGTTCAAATATTTACTGGTTGGTATAGACTATTAACAGTGCATATTCATTCAAAACCTTCCTCCTAACAGAAAAGCTAGTTTGAGGGTGAAGGGTGTAGTTCAGTGGTTGAGTGTTGGACTAGAAGTGTGAGGCCATGGACTCAATCCTCAGGACCACAAAAACCAGAGCAGCAATAATTTGAGCCTGCATACTTTCAGCTGATGTCCTCAGAAGATTCCCAAGTCTTGCATATTCCAATACAAGGTAAACACTTGCAATTTAGCTTCTCCGAAGACATTATTAAAAAACACTAAATTAAGTCTTTGAGAAATGAAGAAGAAAGGAACTTTTCCATAAAATAAAGAGCATTTCCAGCAACCCACAGATCCTTCTTGCATCACATCTGACCTCTCTACCCTGACAGATATCCCACACCTTTCTCCAGGGTCTAACCCAGTAAGTCTCTCTGACTCATTCATGCCTTCTCTTCAACCACCTGATCTATCCCAGGACCACACATCCATTACCCCTGTCTAATCTTGCCTCCTCTGCCTGCATCCAAACCAATCTCTGACTTCCACCAGGTCCCTTTTGCACAGCAGCCAACCCCTGCACCCAGCCAATAGCCACTATCCTTCTCCAGGGTTCATTTCAATGAGACTACTTGACACTCCCCATATACACACTTTCCCCCAACCTGCCAAATCTGCTCCTGACCCCATAGACACTGCCTCAGCCTAGTCTTCACTAAAACCAATTCTAGGCTTCTGCCAGACTCTACCTACCTGCTTTCAACCCACAGACCCCTCCCACACCATATCCAACCTTTCCATGTGGCCAGATCTACCCATGTGTTCCAGTTTAGACCAGGAGGCACATCCTAGACCACTGCAGTCCCCTCTGTCCATCTGACCTACTCAAGCCATTGCCTTCAGGCCCAACCAACAGGCACATGCTCTCCTCTGTCCAACCTGCTCTGTCCACATCAGAACTAACTACAGAAGCCCATACACCAGTTCATCACAAAAATACAAACGATATGAAAGATTGAGCCAGTAATTTCTATCCTACAACCATTGTTTCTATAGAAAGATTCACCAGTGAGAGTTACCCAGATGAGTCCCAGGATACAGAATTGAAAAGAACAATCATAACTTCAGCAAAGAATTCAAGTTTAAAGAAGACACAAGCAGTTCAATGAAATGAAGGAGAATACACACCTGCGCGGTGCTCAAGAAAACGCAAACCTAAGGCTGATGGGAACGACAGAGACAATCGGGATGTGAGAACAGAATTCAGTGAGGAGACAGAAGCCCTGAGGACTGAAGATGAAACGTGACCACAGAACTGAAAACCCAACACCTCAACTAGGAACCTCACAGGGAAGGCTCACGAGTACAGCGAATCAAGCAGAAGACAGGCTATCAGGACTCGAAGAGTAAGCACAGGATCTAGCCCAATTAAGCAAGGACTATGACCCTGAAGAAGAAAACAACACAGGAAATAGTTAGATCCTAGCAGAACACTTTCTCCACACCCATATGGATACAAGGAGCACGGAGGACAGAAATAGACCAGCAAAGAAGGTCCCCACAGCATAGCAGGGTAAAACACCAAGTGACAGAACAAAGACACAGTGTGGCCCTCATCTCTAACTCACACCCCGTGCAACACCACATGACTTAATTTGTCAAAGAGCAAGGGAGGGGATGCTGTCTGGTCACAGTTTCTGTCACCCTCCATCCCATAGGAGACACCTCTGTTCTATTTATTCCTCTTTTGGTAACCAGGGCCTATACCTTTTCAAGTTTAGGAAGGAAATGTAAGCAAAGCATTTCAGAGACCAAAATCAGAGAAAAGAAAACTAAGTGCCTAAATGGTTAAAAAGACTGGATGGAAAATGTACACTATTAGTTGGGACCTTATAACAAGGATGGGGGGAGGGGTCAGAGAGAAAGTAGATCTGATACTAACTCCTGAGGGGCCCTTGGGATTCCTTGAGGTGTACCCAGCCAAACTTCTAACTGTACATCACTTCTGTCTAAGATCTCTGGAAAACAGAATCCTTCTCATAGAGAATTTGCAAGCCCCCATAAGCCACTGCTGCAGCACACGGGCTTTTCGGGAGCTTCTAGAACGATACCTACTGGTTCATTGACTCTCTTGCAGAAAACAGCAAGCAGGAAGACAGCTGCAATGGGTGGCCCCAAGTAACTGGTGATAGACTGGATGTAGTCAAAGAGCTGTCCACTCTGAGCCGACTGCACGATAGGCACCCAGGCGATGCTGATGGCGATCAGCACGAGGATGAACAACCTGAAATCAGAGCCCACAGTAGCACATCAGTGTTGTACATGAACAAATACGTACCAATAATATGTAAACATATGCACGTACCTACATATAGAAGTCACCAGCAAATATATACTTACATGTGTATTATATAAATAAAAACATATTTCACACTACCTCTGTGAAGCAAAATAAGCAAATTCATTCTGGAGGCTTCTTTCTTGCTCTGCTTACCTGAAAGTCATCTGTGTCTATGAATAACTGAAACTCATTTGACTTTCAGGGGCAGCTTGGCAAAATGATCTAATGCAAGAAAATCTCACTTTGAGAAGAGTCAAAGTGTAGGTGCTCAACTGTTTCAATGTAAAATGAAATGCCAGGGCTGGGGTCTAGCTCGGGGGTGCAGTACTTGCCCAGAATGTGAAAACCCCTGACTTCAATCCTCCAGTAGCTCAGAAAATAAAAGAACGTGCCCATACATGGCAACTATAACTGGGCACAGAGATAACTCCGATTATACCAAGTGCCTGCCAATCTTGCCTAACCGCACTACGGTGGGTAGAACTCTCTGTGACCTTCAGCTCCCCTGGTACATGGTAGAGAGGAGGAAGCTGCATTTACCTTCCTGCAATCATGAGCTCCTTCTCGGATGCTCCCTTCCGGATCTTGGTGTAGACGTCCATGGTAAAGAGGGTGCTGGCGCTGTTGAAGATGGAGGTCAAAGAGCTCATGAGGGAGGCCATCATGACTGACAACATCAGGCCTCGGAGTCCTGAAACAGAACGGGGTTTTGAGTGACATTCATCACCCTGACTCTGTTTCTTGTGCAGCAGTCTCCAAGGTCTGTTTGCCTTTAGAAACCATGACTGTGTCTCAAATTTCTCTCTCCAGAAAGAAGAGAAGTTTCAAGAAATGGACTGTAGCTTTACATTCTAAGACCACAGCAGGCAATGATTTGAGACAAGAGAAACATTGCAGACTTTTCAACTAAATGGTGGTGATGCTGGTGGTGAGTGTGGTGGTCAGGGCAGTGGCGGGTGTTCTCACCCGAGGGGACTACCGGAAGGACTCTCACCAAAGAGTCATGATACAGAAGAAGGATGTCTAAGCTGGACCGGAGAGAATGAAAAAACATCCACGAATGGGAGCCTAGAGAAACGAACAACTCTCATCTGGCAAAGCTGTAGCATAGAGTGTGGTGGCTGCTCTTGGTTGTCAGCTTGACTCACCTGGAATTAACTAAAACCCAAGCCACTGGGCATACCTGGGAGCAATTATTTTTCTTTATTAAATCATTTGAGGTAGAAAGACCCACCTTTAATCCAGATTTTTTGAGGTGGAAAGATTCACCTTTATTCTGGGCCACACATTCTGATGGCAGCCTGCATAAAGGACTTGGAAGAAGGATTCTTTTGCTGTTTGTCTGCTTGACATCACTCTCACTGGTAAACCTACTTCTTAGGGATTCTGGCATGTGATAAGACTAGCTGTGACACCTCAGCCTTAGAACTACTAGACTCTGGAACTTTCTGTTAGAAGATAGTGATTGTTGGACTAGCTGGACCACATCCTGTTAGCCACACTAATAAATCACCTGGTAAAGGGAGTCTGTGACACAGACTGATGACCTACAGCAACACATGTTTTGGGTATTTCTTGGTGGTAGTGGTTGTTTGCTTATTTATTTGTTTTTTGGCTTTTTGAGACAGTTTCTCTCTTTGGAGCCTGTTCTGGAACTCACTCTGTAGACCAGGCTGGCCTTGAACTGACAGAGAGCCACCTGTCTCTGCCTCCTGAGTGTTGGGATTGAAGGTGTGCACAACCACTGCCCAGTTAAGATCTGTCTGAACTCTGCCCTACCCGACCCAAAATTATGGTATAGCAGACGTAGTAAGGCAAGAAAGGCAAACATAGGCAGGGAGAAAAGTGCATGATCGTTAGGAGACAAAATGGGCAGGACTGATGTGGATTAGTTGGGGAACACTTGCTGGCTGAAAAGCTGAAGCTACAAGAGGAAGCAAAAGAGGCAGCCTAAGAAGATGTGGAAAGGCAACAGGAAAGACTAACATGAACCCTAAGAGAAAGACTCAAGAAAGGCAACTGACCAATGCCGTTAAACGCAATTGAGTGACGTAAGACAAGGGACAGGAAGTGTCTGGTGGTCTAACACAGGGGATTGAGTAGTCACAGAAGCCAGGTGACAGACACAGTGTTTTGCTGTTTCGCACATGGCTTTTTATTGCTCACTGTTCCCTCTAGCACCATGTGCTAGGGTCTCATGAGCGCAGGGGTCCAGGGCCCGTTTGGAGAAGTCACACCCTGTTCCTGCCAAGACCAGTGTGACTGACGCTTATGGGAACCTTAACTAAATAGCAGCCAAGTTCAGGGGAGTGGTTAAATATATTTCCCCTCTTATATGATTGGAATACAAACGCTCTGCCCAAGGTTGTGCATAAAGCTCTGGAGAGAAATTTAAAAAGAAGTCTAGGCATGCTGGTGCAGCCCAGTAATCTGAGTACTAGGGAAGTTCAGACGAGAAGACTAACGCCAATTCAAGGCTAGCCTGGGCTATATAACGAGACTCTGCCTCAAGAGAAAACATGAATACATACATACATACATACATACATAAATATACACACACATACATACATACATACATGAATGAAAGGATGAAAGGCTGAGAAGGTGGCTCAGCAGGTAAGGTATTGGTTGCAGAAGCATGAGGACCTGAGTTCAGGCCCCCAGCATCTACATAAAGCCAGGAACTGTAGCTCATAGCTGTAACGCCAGAACTGATGGGGAAGATGCAGATCCTGGGGCTGGGGCTCCCTAGTCAGCCAGTTTAGAAAAAACTGGGAGCTCCAAGTTCAGGGAGATAAGCATGTCTTAAAACAAAAATGCCATGTCTTAAAGCTCATGGGATGTCTTGGAAGACAGGGTAGGAAGATTATAAGACCCAAAGAACCAAAAAGTCTACTGCAAGACTGTCTCCTAGAAATGGCAGGGAAGTTTCATGCATAATACCCCAACAATATGGCTGCTTAAGCAATACCTGAACAAGGACAACACCAATGTAGACATGCTAACATGGAAGGGGCCCTTCCATAGGCAAAGGACCTCAGGTAACTAAGGAGCATTAGGAGCAGGAGAAATAGTCTTCCCTTGGGATGAGCTCCTAATTAGTTATCTAGTACCAGGTGGTTAGCTCTGAGATCATATACACACAAACAACACTAAATGGACTCCGTGTATGCGTGTTAAATTTTATAAGACAGGAATTTGAGAGTGAAAGGGGACCTCATGGAAGGAGATGGGGAAGGAAAGGGAATGGGGAAAATGATGTTAATATATTCTAATAACAATAGTAATAAATGTAGCAGGAAAAGAGCTGTTACTAATGAGTGAAAATGCAGGCGATTGCAGATGTCAGTTAAAATGTTCTCTACAGATGTCTGCCTCCCTCTTACGTGCTTAATGTTTCCACCACAGTGTGGACTTTTAAAACTGTGAGGAAAATAAGGTGCATGGGCCAGTGCGGTGGCTTCACACACTCACACACACACTCACACACACTCACACACTCACACGCACACACACTCACACACACTCACACACACACTCACATACTCACACACTCCCACACACACACTCTAAATACCAAGATGAGATCACTCGGCATCTGTGTTTCTGTGACCGACTCTCTCACTTCACACCCTGCTGCAGCATCCGTGTTCCCAGATGAACAGATCACCTTCTCGTGAGTGTGAATGTCACCCACTGTTTGTGCAGAGCACATTTTTATCTATTTATATTTAAACACTAAGGTTGGTTCCCTGTCTTGGCAATTGTGCACAAGCCCAAATGCACACTAGAATTCAGTTGTCTCTACAACATAGTGGCTCCATCCCTTTGGATATGAACCCTGTATGGAGAACGGTGAACCCTATGGTAGGTCTACTTTTAATTTTTTTTTCCCTCGGGAGCTTCTACACTGTTTTCCAAAATGGCCATTGTAAGTTACAACCTCTTTGTTTGAGTATTTTAAATGATTATTGAGACAGGCAAGGAAAGGGACTTTCTCCCCCCACCCCAACAAGTTTTTGTGTCCTTTCTTAGCCTGACTAATGGACAAGACCCAGGGTGATAGACTCCAACTGGACCACATGTTTTGAAGACATAAATTAAACTCAGAAACACAGAAATGGGACTTTCTCCTTAGAGCACACCCCTGGCCTGGAAAAGCCTTTGTCCCAGAATGCACTCAGAGGTCTAGGTGGAGCCTAAGCCAAATTGACCTCCCAGGAAAGTCTCACCATTAGGCATGAGCTCCACCACCAAGGTAGGATAGGCGATGTTGGTACAGCCAACTGATGTGCCGCAGTACTTCTGACATTCCGAGGGGACGACACAGGCGATCTTGTCTAGAGAGAGATGAACGGGTGCATCAGTGAGCTTCCATTGGGTAGCAACGGTTCTGAGGGTTGCAGTATTTACCTTAAAGCAACACTTCAAACAAGACAGTCCCACCCGGTACCCAGAAACAGAAGCAGGGAAAGAATGTTTCCCAGCTAAGACCTCTGTGCCATACCCTGTCCTGTTATCCCTGACACATCTGGACGCTCCCACAGCAGAGAAACCTGGTTCTTAGAGGACAGAAAGGAAACAAAGAAAATTATCTGGAGGGGAGGGAGGAGGCACTGCCATCGACCTCAACAGCTTGGTGACGATAATTAGGGTTATCTGTGACCCCGGTTTTCAGGGTTTTTTTGAACAGCTCTTAGATATACAGTCAAATCCTTAGAAAACCAAGGTAATTCCCAAGATTTGAGAAATCTGGAGCAGTAATAAAGAAATAGACTGGGCGGAGAAGGGAACTAGATATAAAATCTTGGAGAAAATTCTAGAAATTTATATAGAATTTGGCTCAACAAAATTTCTTAAATACTCATTTAGCACTGTACCACACAGCTCCAATTCATACACTTATTGTAAATAAATAAATGCAGTAGCCATTAGGGCATGAGCTATTCTGTTTGCTCAACAGGTATCTCTCAGCATCCATGTGTGAATTGTTTCTGGGTACTTTTTACCCAGTGGATTCCAAAGTCTGCAGAGGCTCAGCCCCCTAAATAAACAGCGTAGTACCTGCCCTAACACATGCACATCCTCCCCTGAAGTCATCTGCAGGTTGCTTACAACATAGAATAACCTAGAAGTGCTATGGAAATAGCTGTTGTCCTATGTTGTTTGGAAAAAGTGATAAGCAAAACTTACATGTTTTCATCATAGGTTCAAATATTTTAATATTTTTCAATAGGTGGTTGGTTGAAGATCTAGAGGTGTGAGTTATGAATATAGAAGGCAATTATATTTTCCTCATGGTGTACCAGCCAGCACAGGAATATGAGAGCCAAGCGGGGCATGCCACCAAGGACAACACAGCCAACGCCTGCCAGCTATCTGACTTCATTTTGGGGGTGCTTGCCAAATGGTCACTCTGTGGTGAACTGTTCACTTCTTGTTGTTATTTTGCATTTCAAAGCAGTTTTGATTCATAATAGCTAACCAAAAATTATTTGTATTCATAACAACAGGCCAGAAAAAGACCAAAGGTGAATCCGCCAAGGCGGAGCACCTGCAAGAAAACAGCCCATGAAACAGGGCAGAGAGCCAGGGCCAGCGGTAGCTGGCTGGGCCTTGGCATTAGAATTACAAAATAGATTATTAGACCCCACTACAGGCCTGGGGTCCAGGGTGCAGAACTGCAAGTGAGCAAACACTGTTTCCTGGAGAGGGAACCTGGATGATGTCATGAGTGTGGGAGATTAGGAGAAAAAAAAATGAGGAGACAACTGTCGGTGTAAATGAGGGAACTGGTTCTCTCCTTCCGCCTCGTGGGCTCCAGAGATCAAGTTCAGGTTGTCAGGCATGGCGACAAGCTTGCTATCAAACAACTTTAAGTTTTTAAAATGAAAATAAATAGCAAATTGATTTTAAAAGAAATCGGTAGGGGCTGGAGAGATGGCTCAGTGGTAAGAGCATTGCCTGCTCTTCCAAAGGTCCTGAGTTCAATTCCCAGCAACCACATGGTGGCTCACAACCATCTGTAATGAGGTCTGGTGCCCTCTTCTGGCCTGCAGGCATATACACAGAGAGAATATTGTATACATAATAAATAAATAAATATTTTTAAAAAAAAAAAAAGACATAGGTAAAGACAACCCCAGGAATTCTGTGTCTCCATTGTGCACACTGCCTGACACAGGCAACCCTGCCGCTTGGTTATCATGGCACAAAAGAAAGGGAACGAAGGAGCCGGAGAGCTTCCATAGTCCCTTAGAGCTACAAAGGAAAAATGGCCTGAGCTCAGGTAGAGGAATTACCTGTGTATAAAATCCGGCTGATCATCCCCGTCATGACCATGAGGAACATGGGCAACAGCTTCAGATAGCCGCACATGGTACAGCCGGCCTTCACGTGAGACATGTTTTTAGCTGAGAGGCAGCGCTGCACAATGACCTGTCAGGAACATCCCAGTGAGGAGCTGTGCAGGCTGGGAATTCTGGAACCCCCTGACATGCCAGCTGCCCTGTTTTGGTCTTCAGCCTTGATTCCCAGCAACCCACACCTTCTTCATTTTCAACCCCAACAGCCTGACAGGTGGAAGTCTCTGTCATGCACCCTTCCTATACTCCCAGACTCCATACCTGGTCTGTGCACCAGTACCACAGGGCGAGGATCGACAGACCAAAGATGAGCCCAGGCCATGGAATGTCTCCTGTGATAGGATCTCTGAATATGTGGAAAGAGTCGGCCCTGGGAGTGTAACATTCTTTCTTGACAGTCATATTTCCATCAGAAATTATAGATGGAATGGCATTCATGTACTTCTCCATGAAGGCATCATATCCTCCTATTTCAGTGAAAGCTGAAACATTGGTTAAAAAAAAAACAAAAAAAAAAAACACTGAAACATTTAACTCCTTGTCGTGATTTCATGTCTGAGTATCTTAGACACCAAGAGAACACCAGCATAGGGGAACACCCATGATGTGTCGTTTGGAGTTAATGATCTTCCCTCTAGACCTCAGGCTTCTCATTTATAAAAACGGGAGTGTTAACTGCCCAGCCTCTAGGAGACACTGGCATTTCAAAGCAACAGCTTGCGGCAGTGCCTTGACTGCACATGGGCTGGAGAGGGAGGGAACTCATTAAAGGAAGACTCGGCCTTGAACCACACGCAGACTGTTGTTCTTCAAACCCCAGCTGTCTGCATGGTCTTTAGAACTCAGAACACAGAGTAGGGACACACAGTGGCCTTCTGGAGACTAGACACGGGCCGGACAGCTGGCCCCAGGGATTCCCGGGAACGGGGCAGGGATCAGAATTCTGCCAGCTCCCATCTCAGTGCTGCCATCCTAGCCTGTGTTTGCTGACCCCAGGGCCTGCGGGGAAAGCAAATGAAAGTCCTTAGGAAACTTCACTCTAGAGTGTAGACAAGAGTCTTTGAATGATGCTCAGAGGGTCCACTAATCATAAAACACAAAATATTTCTTCTATGTCTTCATGACAGCTAGGATTTCCAATGCTGTCTTTATAGACAAAGACAATTTCAAGAAATGATCAGAGATGCCGACAGTGAGTGAGCAATTTTTAAATTTTGTCAAATGAAGCACTAACGTGAAAAATCACCCATCACCAACAATGCATAAACTTTGGCCTTTTAACATCACAGTGTGTGCAGGATATAGTTTCAGCCTGCAAACACGGCGTGTGAATCTGTGTGACTTGCTGAGTCGTTAGCCGCATTCATTTTTACCCAGGTTCTCTGCAAACAGTGCACCGCATTACCACGGGCCTACACTGGAGACCCTGAACCAAGCTATAGGGAGAGAACAGGGGGCAATTCAAGTATTCCTTGGGTCTGCTCCAACAAGGGTGCTACAGGGGAAGGTGATCCCATAAGGATTGCCAGACAGGGCTGGGCCACTGCCCTGAGCTAGACAAGGTGTTATGGGATATTTGTGCACTGTGTAAGGATATATTGCTGTGATTGCTTTAATAAAGAGTCTAATGACCAATATCTAAGCAAGAGAGGTGGGTGGGATTTCTGGAGCAAGAGAGAGGAAGAGGAGGAGGAATCCAGGTACACGGATTATGCCAGGAGATGCAGAAAAAGTTGGACATACAAATTGGAGAGGAGGTTTTAAAAAGTTACATAGTAGAGCATAGATTAATAAAAGCAGATTAATTTAAGTGACAAGAGCTCATTGGGGTCAAGCCTAAACTAAGACCAAGCTTTCATAATTAACAATAAGTCTCCATGTCATTATTTGGGAGCTGGCTGGTGGGACAGAGAAAGACTGGTTACGTCAGAGCAGGCAGGCAGGCCAGCCAGACTTGCTCTGTCTTCTCAGAATTCTATACCTCTGCCCCCACCTGCTTAGTGAACCCCAGCCCCACTTACCAAATCCAGTCAGGATACAAGACCCCACGAGCATGATTGCTGTCTGCAAGGCATCCGTGTAAATCACCGCTGCCAGGCCCCCTAAGCAGGCAAACACAATAGATCACATGGAGCGCACGATGCCCGCCTGCTTCTTTTCCTACCCACCACCCTCTCTTCTCCACAGTGCCCCTTCTGAGAACCTCCGCCCCCTGCCACCACCACCTGCCTGCCTTTCCTCCCAGGCCCTAATCCTGCTGCTCAGAATTGTTTCTTGCCTTCGCCTCTCATGAAAATACCTACACAGCCTGGGAAAAGGGAAGACACTTGTCTCTACCTGAGTGGAAAGTACTTGTTGTGAGCTTAATGCTAGGACATGGCTCACAAAGGAATGTTTGCTCTTTTTGACTCTGTAATGGTAGAGATGGAACCCAGGACTACTGTGTGTGTGTGTGTGTGTGTGTGTGTGTGTGTGTGTGTGTACACATGCACGTGACAGACAGATGTGCCAACTGTAAATTACATTCCCAACCTCTCTAAGGAACGTCTCATCCTCAGGTATAGGGGGCGCCCAAGGAACAGCAAGTCCCGCTGTGGCTCCTCCCCCTTCCTTCCTGCAAAGAACATTTGTCTCTGCCATCCTCAAATCTTACTCCGAAACCTCTTTGTATATCTTTTGTCCACTTCAAAATGGTTTCCAATCTAGTCACACTACATCTAAGGCTCCCAAGGACCCCGTACCTGTTTATCGCTCATGCTTTGTGTCTCCTCTCTCCCCGCTACTTTGCAGTAACCACCTGTTTGGTACCTGCGGGCTCGCCTTGCTCCCGATCCCTGCCCCACCCACTCCTGCCACCATTCTCCCTTCACTTACATTTTTTTCACCTAGCATGTCTCTAATTGTCCTAGCTTTGCCACTTTGCCCACAACCTTCAGGCTAAGCTCTCCCGAGCGCCTCTGAAAGGCTGTCCTGACGTTCCTCCACCCAGCACGGGAGCTTTCACGGAACATTCCACATGGCTTTCCACGGAGACCAAGAAAATAGCCATTCTCAGACCCTCTCTCCTCATCCCCTCGCAAGTCTAACCCTGCCTAACCCCGAGCCAGACTGGAGATGCCGATTCGCTTGAATGGACTCACCTGTGATTGTATAAAGGGCGGTGATTGCTAGTAGAATAATGATGGCCAGGTAGATGTCCAGGCCCAAGGCTAGGTTGATGAATATAGCTCCAGAGAAGATGTCTGCCTGGAAGAAGAGAAGCAAGGCATAGGCAGAAGTGAGAGGGGTCATCTGGTCACAGGGGCCATTCCTGGGTTTCCAAGCAAGCCACTTTGACCAAAGGCTGGAGAATTCAAGTCTATTCCTTATATCATGTTAATGAAGTCTGTTGCCTCTCCCTTCCTCTTTCGGAGTGAAGTATACAAGCGTGTGAAAAATAAACAAGGCAAATTCCGTATTCATGGAATGTCCCTCCCAATGCTGTGCTGTGTTTCTTTCTCTTATTTATCTTATATCTCTGTTCCTTTTGCTTAATAATTCTAACCCTCATGCGCCTACCCTGGAATGTAGGAGTTTTGTCGAAGCTGGTCTTAGATGGCGGGCAGCAGAGCAGGTGCTTTCGGCACGCAAGCAACTGCTTATAAGTGTTGACTAGTATTTGTCCTGTTTTTATGATGTGCTGCTTGTATCCAACACAGATAGAGGAAACTTCTTGCTGAATTGAAAAAATAACTAATACAAACTCTCCCTTTTATGAATCCTCTCCTTGGGACCCCCAAAATACCAGGATTCCTGCTAAGAACACCGTAGCTAACTGAATACAGCCGAGCAAGCCCACCTTAGCACTAACTGAATACAGCCAAGCAAGTCCACCTGGCCCAAGGGCTCTGGATTTTGTTTTCAGTTCTTCCTATCTGCCTCAATTTTCTGTTTCCCTGTGGATTTTCCCCCCTCTTCCTTTCCAGGGAATTTTACAGCTTACCTAGGGTTGCCACAGGTGTGTATTATTTTTATACTAAAAAGTATTGACATTTGCTTGTTTCTGTCTATGCTTTTGGGGTTGCAGTGAGGCTGAGATTCTCGAGTCCACTGCTGGACCCCACAGAGATCGTGCGTTAATGTGTAAAGCACAAACTGCCAAGCAAGGTTCAAATCTTGTGGTATTACAAGATGAAAAGTTAAAACTTCAGCAACAGGAGCTGGAGGGGTGGTTTAGCGGTTAAGAGAACTGACTGTTCTTCCAGAGACCCCATTTTCAATTCCCAGCACCCACATGGCAGCTCACACCTCTCTGTAACTCCAGTTCCAGAGGACCCGAAACCCATGGCAAAAACATCAATGCTCATAAAAATAAAATATTTAAGGGGAAAAAAACCAAAACTTCAAAAAAATGGTGAATACTGAAAATGCAATTAAAGAAAATGTTGAAAATTCTGAACTAAATGAGCCAAGCAGCCATTTGCAGAGCCATGTGACCTCACTGGCACAGAGAATCACACACACACACACAGACACACACACACACACACACACACACACCGGAACTTAGGCTAAACACTGAGGGAAATGGTGGAGAGAGCAAAACAAGAATGCCAAGATTTAAAAAGCCATGCTGGAAAAGTGCAATTAGAAGTTGAAAGTTGAGTTTGCTCTTTTGTGACCGCGGAGGAAAAACAGATACAGTGATTGGAAGAAAAGCATAAACTTCCTGGGCGAATCACAGAGAGAGAAGAAAGGATGGCTAATCAAGCTAAGATTAAACTACAGCAAAGGCTCAGAGAAGAGAAGCTCTTCGGGAAACAAACTGAAGAGACTACAGGAGACAGTGGAAGCCTCAGAGGCAAAGATTAGAAACAGATCAGATGGCCTTAAAGAGACAAAAGATTCCATCTGAAGACTGTACAATGCTTCAAAAATGACGAAAGGACAGGCAGAGAAGACATAATGAATTTCAAAGTCTCACTCTGGGTCCTAACACGCCTCCAACAGCGTCCATGAACCACTAACTGTCATTGTCAGCCACTGCTCCTGGCCTGGAACTCTCTTTCCTCATACACAGAAAGAGATGAGGCTTCTCTCTGATTCATAAAACACAAAGAGAACTAGAGAAGAACTAGAGAAACTCCAATCTCCCGGGGAATGGTGGAAGAAGGGGGTGAAGGCAGTGGCTCAACAAAGCACACAGTTCAACGTGTGGCACTAAGGCACTTCATCACTGTCTGCCACAATCCAGGAACCACCTTAAGGAAGGCAGAGAGAACATGCTGGGCTGCCTACGCTCCAGAATCCGAGGGTCATACTGATGAGAGGGAAGAGTTCTGAGAGCTTCAGAGATAGCTAGAGTATGTATTGACGGTGTAAAAAGTAAAGGAACTAGTTAATTAAAGAATCCAATTCTCAAATTATTCATTTTTACTTTGTTAAATGTTTCTGGCATTTTTCCTGAAATATGTCCATTTTGAATTCCTTTTTCCTCCTCTTTGAGCTATCTGCGCGTCAATAACAAGATCAGCAAATGTCTGGTTTACTATATACAACAGATATAAACCTTAAGATTTTTGGAAAGGAAGACTACATAAGAGTCTAAAAAACACTCTAAAGTTTCTAAATATAAGCTCATTATAGAAATCTTTACTTTTTTAAATGTTGTGCACTTAGTTTATTAAATAACTTGATAAATATTTTTGTACTTCAAAAGTATTCATGTTTGTCTGGCTGTGTTTTCAAAGCTGATCGCTTTGTATCAATCGAGCAGCCAGCCAGGTTTGTTATTGTCATCCTCCTCATCATTGTCACCATCATCATCGTCATCATCCCAGGAGGGAGTCCCTCTCTCAGGCAGCAGCTGCCTGTAGTTCCTTGTCTAGGAGTGGGACCCCCTGAGACCGATCCCCTTCTGTGTTAGCATTCTGTTTCAGTGCTGCCATTGTTCCTGTCCTGTTTGTGCAGGCATTATACAGACAAACAAATACATGGATATATACATATATATGTCAAAAATAAGTTTTTAAAGACTATCAATATGAGCGTAGGGTGATTTGGAAGGGGTTGGAGGAAGAGGATTTGGAAGTACTGGGAGAAGAAATGGAAGGGGGAAGTAATATGGTTATATTTTAATTAAAAATGTATAAAAAGGCCATCCGTGCCTTCTCCCCCAGCCTGCCAAATATAGCATGGGTACCACATCTGGTACCCTGGTCTATTCTAGTCAATCTTGCCTACACCAAAACCAACCTCCAAGCTTCCACCAGTCCCTGTCCTACCTACCACCCACTACAAGTCACATCCAGCCAGACATCCCGCTTCTTTCTCAAAGTCTAGCCCCTGAGTTTCCCTGACCTCTCATCGCATCTTCTCCTGAACCCACCAGATCTAGTCTGGATCCAGCACCTGGGGTCTAACCTCTGCGGACTGTACCACAAATAGTCTTGAGGCGTCTGCCAGGACCCTCCTCTCTACTTACTCTGAAAGTCACAGGTCTCTTGCATGCCATACCCAATCTTTCCAGCCAGATCTACACCCACACACCAGGCATGGACCGGGAAGCCCACCCTGACCATCAGCCTAGTCCCCTCTGTCCACCTGACCTTCCACCCAAGGCTTTTGTAACCTCCAGGCCCAACCTGCAGGCACATGCTCTCCTCTGTCCAACCTGCTCTGTCCACATCAGAACTAACTACAGAAGCCCATACACCAGATGTCATCACAAAAATACAAACAATATGAATCTCTCTACAACCATCGTTCCTGTAGAAAGATTCCCCAGTGAGAGTTACCCACAGCATAGCAGGGTTAAAACACTAAAGCCACAGAACGAAGATGGTGTATTCAAAGCTGAAAGAAAAAAATGCAAGTCATATATAAAGTCACACGTCAGAACCACAGCTGGATTCCCAGTGGAAATTTTGGCAAGTCAGAAGAGCCTGGAGCAACGCATTCCAAGTCCTAAAAGACTATTATGTCAACCCAAATAATATACCCGGCAAAGCTATTTGCCATGACTGAAAGAGAAAGAAAAATTCTCCATGACATAAACAGCCTAAAAACTTTTATCCAACAAACCAAACCCAAGGAAAATGAGGAAGAAACATGGGGAGTGGGTGCTGAGGAGAGAAGTGAGCACAGCAGTGAGACCACAGGAAGAAATCCCAGCCATGATGATTAAAGCACAAGTGAAATCTTGCCGCTATCCCAGCCTTCCTTCCCTCCCTGCATCTCTGTCAGTGGTTGATACCTAGGAACTCTCTCTACTCAGGATCCCCAATGGCCACACCTGCAGGGACTTAGGTAAGCAAATCTCACTGTCCTTCCTGTCCTCTATACTGTCTCTCCATTCTCTCCCTCAGCCCAGTAACAACCTGCTAACAGGTGCCCATCCTTCACCTCAGCTAATTCACCTCCTCCACCTCCCCACTCACCTCCTCCACCTCAGCTAATTCACCTCCTCCACCTCCCCACTCACCTCCTCCACCTCAGCTAATTCACCTCCTCCACCTCCTCCACTCCATTCACCTCCCCCACCTCAGCTTTCTTCTCCTCCATCCACCTCAGCTCTGTTAACTTTCCACTTACTGGAGACTCCAACTCTGGGTTCAGACTCAGGTTCCTGCTAACACTTCCACCCCTGTCTCTCTGGACAATTCTCTGTTGTTCTGAAACCTTTTTCAGGAACTCCCTTCCCACCACACTTCCAGCTCCCTCAGGGACCCTCTTATAGTCATGAAGACATGATTTATAATCATATAAGATTCCCCTTAGTGCTTTCCTGAAGCACCTCTCGGTCCTTTCCTTAGCCCACCTCTATTGCTCTCTGCCATCACCAACCCTGCAGGAGCACTCCGTATCAGAAAACTGCAGCCAGCACACTTCCCTAAGATGCAGAGAGGGAACAGAAACCAAGAACTAAAACACCCAACCAACTAAGACAGGACCAGAAATCAAGACCTCGAATCATCCCAATCTAAGAGGCCTAGGGAAACAAGGAAGGCACTCCTAAGAGACAAGTTCATAGCCGTAAGTGCCTACATCAAAAGCTTGGAGACACCTCATAATAGTAACTTAACAGCACACCTGAAAGCTCTAGAACAAAAGAAATCACACCCAAAGAAGTGAAGTCAAGAAGCCACCAAACTAAAAGCCAAAAACCAATAAAATAGAAAGAAAAAAGACAATACAAAGAATCAGTGAAACAAGGAATTAGTCCTTTGATAAAATCAATAAGATTGGCAAACCTTTATTCAAATTCA